GCTTTAGCTTCCTAGCTCTCTTAATCTCTGCTCTCCATTTCTCTCTCTTCCTTCCTTCTCATCCTTCCTCTCTCCCTCCTCATGTCTCCTCCCTCAGATGGTGCCTCCCTCCACAGCTTTTCCCTTGCTCCCCCAAAGCATGTGCGTACAAACACACTTTATCTTTTAAGCCATGTTGCTGTGGTAACTTTTTTATGTTTAGACACAAAAATAATTGCCATTTTATTTCAATTGCTTATTCAGTACCATAATAGACTGTAGAGTCTTGGAGCCTAGGAGCAATAGGCTGTACCATATGGTCTAGGTGTGTAAGCTTGCTATAGCATCTAGATTTGTGTAAGTACAGTCTGTGATGTTTGCACAATGATGAAATGGCCTAAGGGTGAATTTTTCTGAACATATCCCCATTGGTAAGTGACACATGACTGTTTAGGATTTGGCCTAGCTGGATGCTTCTGGTCTCCCTCTTGCTCTTGGTCTCAATCAAATTATGGTATAGATATCCTTAAATGCTGCTCTCTTTATCTGTAGTAATTATCTTCTGCACCCTCCGCATAGAACATAAGCTCTGGTTCCCTCTTCAATCTGATCCCATCTACTTTCTTTCCATGGAAAGTTTCTCTTCTTTAAGTGGTGTTCTGTATTTTTTATTTTTATGGTTTAAGAAATGGAAAATGACAGTATGCTTTAAATTGAACTCCTTGAGATGAAAAGCTGGCCTGTATTGTTATTACTTTTTAGAAATCCACTGATGTTTTGTTTATGGCCTAGTATGTATTTAGTAAATGGTCTATGGATAAAGGTATTTTATCTATTTTCAGGGAATAGTTTATTATGACTGCAAATAATTTTTAGAGTTTTGCTTCAAAAATCTGATGTTATTCGGACAGTTTTTGTGTGTGCTCATTCTTTATTTATTCAACCTTTGCTGTCATTCCACAGTTGAACCCTTTTCTTTTAAAAAGTGAGTTTATTCCATTTCTTTTCACTGATCTAAAAATACTTGTCTTTTCTCATTTTTTAGTTTACGATGTGTGGCCTGTTTTTATTTTGTATGTACAGTTTTTTTTCTGATTGAATTAGAATAGAGTAAGGCTTTTGTTTTTCAAGTGATTATTTTAATATTATTATTTGAACCCGGGACCCTTCAGTCTACAGGCCAATGCTCCATCCACTGAGCCAAACTGGTCAGGGCTTAATTAATACTATTAAACTCTAAACTTATCAGCTTCAGAAGGTATCTGTGGAGGCCTTGCTAATTAAACTCAACACATATTTTCTTCTTCCTCTGTACATCCTAATTCAGTTAAATAGTTATTTCTAGGTTGTTACATATATATTTCTTCTTCCTCTCTACACCAGCTTTAGTTACATTATTTTCCCCATAATAATTATGGTTCTGATAAATATCCTTTCTACATTGAAATGGATTGATTGCTCATTATTATTTCTTTTTTAAACTAAATTTATTAAAGGGCAACATGGGTTAATAACATTATATAAGTTTCAGGTATACAACTTTATAATATGACATTTGTACACACTACTGTGTGCTCACCATTCAAAGTCTAGTCTACTTTCCATTACCATGAATTTGACCCTCTTTGTTCTGCCAATCCCTTTCCCTCTGGTTAACCACCATTCTGTTGTCTGTATTATGAGTTTGTTGCTTTTGTTTTACATCCCACACACGAATGAAATCACGTGGTTCTTGTCCTTTTTCGTCTGACTTATTTCACTTAGCATAATGCTTTCAAGATCCATCCCGGTTGTTGCAAATGGCAATATTTCATATTTTTTATGGCTAAGCAGTACTCCATTGTATATGTGTACCACATCTTTATCCAATCATCTGATGATGGGCGCTTAGGTTTCCATGTCTTGGTTATTGTAAATAATGCTGTAGTGAACACAGGGGCACATATATCTTTATGAATATGTGTTTTCATAAATTTTTTTTTTGGGGGGGGGATAGATACCCAGAAGAGGGCTTGCTGGGTCATATGGTAGCTCTATTCTTAATTTCTTGGAGAATTTCCATACTATTTCCATAGTGGCTGCAGTAACCTACACTCCAAACAACGATGTATAAAGGTTACCTTTTCTCTACATCTCCAATACTTGTTATTTCTTGTCTTATAGAAAATAGCCATTCTAACGTGTGAGGTGATCTCTCATTGTGGTTTTGATTTACTTCCCCTTATAACTAGTGATGTTGAGCATATTTTCCTATATTTGTTGTATGTCTTCCTTGGTTAAGTGTCTATTCATATTTTGTTGAGTTGTATGAGTTCTTTATATATTAGCTCCTTATCAGAGGTATCATTTGCAAATATCAACCATTTTGTTAGTTGCCTTTTTTTTTCTTTGTTTTTTTTGATGGTTTCTTTTGCTGAGCAGAAGCATTTTAGGTTGATGTAGTCTCATTCATTTGTTTTTGCTTTTACTTCCCTTGTCTTTTGGGTCAAGTTCACAAAAATGCCTGAGGCCAACGTCCATATGTTTTTTGCCTATATTTTCTTTTATGTATTTTGTTTCAGGTCTTATATTTAAGTCTTTAATCCATTTTGAGTTAATTTTTATATATAGTGTCAGAGAGTTCATTGTTTTGCAGGTGGCTTTCCAGTTTTCCCAACACTATTTATTAAAAAGACTTTCTTTTTTAACATTGTGTGTTTTGGGCACCTTTGTTGAAAATTAGTTGCACATATGCATAGGTTTATTTATAGACTCTCAATTATGTTGCATTGGTCTGTGTATCTGTTTTTCTGCCAATGCCATACTGTTTTGATTACTGTAGCTTTATAGTATAATTTGACATCAGGGAGTGAGATACCTCCAGTTTTGTTCTGTTTCTTCTCAGGATTGCACTGGCTGTTCGGGGTCTTGGTGGTTCTATACAGATTTGAGGGGTTATTTTGTTTTCTTTTATTCTGTGAAAAATACCATTGGGATTTTGATAAGAATTACATTAAATCTTTATAACATTTTAATTCTTCCAATCCATGAACACAGAACAGCTCTCTCATTTCTTTTATTTTAAAAAAATAATTGTTTATTGTTGAAAGTATGAGTAAGCTCCAAGAACAGAATCCGGTCTGCATTGCTCAGTGACACACCGAGTACCTCTGCAGTGCCTGGCACATAGTCGGTCCTTCTCAGGTCCCTCCATGCTGTCTCAAAGGGTAAAAGATTCTTCTTTTTTACTGCTGCATAGTATTCCATAGTATAAATGTACCAAACCTTTTATCCACTCATCTACTGATGGGCACCTGGGCTGTTTCCAGATCTTAGTTATGTAAATTGTGCTGCTATGAACATAGGGGTGCATACATTCTTCTAATTGGTGCTTTGGGTTTCTTAGGATATATACACATAGGTGGTATCACTGGGTCAAATGGCAGTTCCATATTTAAATTTTTGAGGAAACTCCATACTGTTTTCCATAATGGCTGCACTGTATTCCCACCAGCAGTGCACGAAGGTTCCCTTTTCTCCACATCCTCGCCAGCACTTGTCATTTGTTGATTTGTTGATGGTAGCCATTCTGACAGATGTGAGATGGTACCTCATTGTCATTTTGATTTGCATCTCTCAGATAGTGACTTTGAGCATTTTTTCATGTCTCTTGGCCATCTGTATGTCCTCTTTGAAGAAGTGTCTATTTAAGTCCTTTGCCCATTTTTAAATTGGATTATTTGTCTTCCTTTTGTTAAGTTGTATGAGTTCCCTGTAAATTTTGGATATTAACCCTTTATCAGTTGTATCATTGCCAAATATGCTGTCCCATACAATGGGCTCTCTTTTTGTTTTGTTGATGGTTTATTTGCTGTGCAGCTTTTTTATTTTGATGTAGTCCCATTTGTTTATTTTCTCCTTAGTTTCTCTGCCTTAGGAGATATATCTGTAAACATACTGCTATGAGAGATGTCTGAGATTTTGCTGCCAGCTTTCCATTTCTTTATATCTTCTTCAATTTCTTTCAACTATGTCTTATAGTTTTCAGTGTACAGGTCTTTCACTTCCTTTAAGTTTATTCCTAGGCATTTTATTCTTTTTGTCATGATTGTATTGGGATTGTTTTCTTCATTTTTCTTTATGCAACAGATTTTTGTATAATGAGTTTGTATCCTGCAACTTGACTGTATTTACTTATTTCTTCCAATAGCTTTTTGGTGGACTCTTCAGGGTTTTCTATATCTAGAATTATGTCATCTGTAAGTAGTAACAGTTTTACTTCTTCATTCCCAGTTTGGATGCCTTTTATTTCTTTTTCTTGTCTAATTGCTCTGGCTAGGCCTTCCAGTACTATATTTAATAACAGTGGTAAGAATGGGCACCCTTATCTTGCTCCTGATCTTTGGTTTTTCCCCAATCGAGTATGATTTTATCATAAATGGATATTGTATCTTGTCAAATATTTTTCCTACATGCATTGATAGGATCATATGATTTTTATCTTTTACTCTGTTAATGTGGTATATCACATTGATTGATTTGTGGATGCTGAACCATCCTTGCATCTCTGGAATGAACCCCACTTGATTGTGATGTATGATCCTTTTAATATATTGTATTCAATTTGCTAGTATTTGGTTTAGCATTTTTGCATCCATGTAAACTAGAGCTACTGGCTTGAAATTTTCTTTTTTTGGGGTGAGTTATTTTTGCCTGGTTCTGGTACCAGGGTAATGTTAGCTTTGTAATATGAGTTAGGAGTATTCCTTCTTGTCCAATTTTTTGGAAGAGGTTAATAAGGATTAGTATTAAATCTTTAAAAAATATATACTTTATTAACTTCAGAGAGGAAGGGAGAGGGATAGAAACATTAATGATGAGAGAGAATAATTGATTGGCTGCTTCCTGCATGCCCTCTGGGTATCAAGCCCATAACCCTGACATGTTCCCTGACCAGGAATCCAACTGTGACTTCCTGGTTCATAGATTGATTCTCAAGCATGGAGCTACACCAGCTGGGCAATATTAAAAATCTTTTTTTAATGTTTGGTAGACTTCACCAGTGAAACCAAATGACTTTGAACTTTTGTTCATTGTCAGTTTTTTGGTTTTTTTTTGTAATTACTGTTTCAATTTCCTACTAGTGATGGTCCTATTTAGATTTTCCTCCTAGGAAGGTTGTATACTTCAAATAATTTGTCCATTTCTTCTAGCCTATCAAATTTCATGGCATATAGTCTTTCATAGAATTCTCATGTAATCCTTTTATTTTCGTGGTGTCCATTCTAACTTCTCTTCATTTCTGATTTGAGTCTTTTTCATTTATGTAATATCATCTTCCACCTCTTCACTTTGAGCCCATGTTTGTCTGTGAAGTTGAGAGGAGTCTCCTGCAGGCAACTTATAGTTGGAGCTTGCTTTTTAATCTATTCTGCTACTTTGTGATTTTTGATTGGGGTTCAGTCCATTTACATTAAGGGTAACTATTGATATATGAGGACTTACTATATCCATTTTGTTTTTTGTTTTCTGGTTGCTCTTATCTCCATTGTTTCTTTCTCTTGTGATTATGTCTGCTATGTCAGTTTGGTAGTTTTCTGTGATTTTTTTTTCTGTTTTCTTTTTTTAGGTTTTGTGTCTCAGCTCTGACTTTTTGTGTGTGTTTACCATTAGCCTCATGTAAAGTGCCTCATACATACAGTAGTCCTTTTTCTTCTGATTGCATCTTATCTTCATTCCCTTGTGAATGGTCAGTCCTTTCCTTCTCCCCTTTCATGAATTTGTTGTCACAAATTATCTCTTTTTATATTGTACCAAATTGCAGTAGCTAGTTATTTTTTAATGACATCCCCTTCATTTAACCTTTATGTTTTTTTTAAAATATATTTTATTGATTTCTTATAGAGAGGAAGGGAGAGAGATAGCGAGTCAGAAACATCGATGAGAGAGAAACATCATCGCAACCCAGGTACATGCCCTTGACCGGAATCGAACCTGGGACCCCTCAGTCCGCAGGCCTACGCTCCATCCACTGAGCCAAACCAGTTTTGGCTAACCTTTATGTTTAAATTAAGTGTTTAATATCTTATTCTGAAGTAGAGTTGCAATTTCCTACTTCTGATAGTCATTGTACTCAGTTTTATATACTTCGTTTTTTTGGTTTTTGGTAGAAGAGCTCCTTTAAAAATTTCTTGTAAAGTAGGTCTTGCAGTAGATTCTCTCAGCTTTTGTTTGTCTGGGAAAGCCTTTATTTTTCTTCATAGCTAAAGGACAATTTTGCTGGATATATTATCCTTGGCTGACAGTTCCTTTCAATATTTTGAATATTTCCTTCCACTTTCTCCTGGCTTATAATGTTTCCATTGAAAGATGATAATATAATAGGGTTTCCTTTGGCTGCCTTGAGAATTCTTTGTCATTAAAATTTTTTTATCCTCACCAGGAATATGTTTTTTGATTTGAGAGAGAAGGAAAGAGAGAGACATCGATTTGTTGGTTACCTCCTGAATGCACCTGACCAGGAATCAATCCACAACCTTTTGGTGTATGGGAAGATGCTCCAACCAACTGAGCCACTCGGCCAGGGCTTTGTCATTAATTTTTGATAGTTTGAATAAAATGTGTTTTGGAGAAGATATTTCTGGGTTGATAAAATTAGTTGTTCTGTTAGCTTCCTTTATTTCAAAAGTCCAGTTCGTTCTATAGGCTAGGGAAGTTCTCATCAATTATTTCTTTGGGTAAGCTCTTTGTTCCCTTCTCCCTCTCTTCTCCTTCTGGTATATCTATTATCCTTATGTTCCTCTTTCTGACGGAGTCAGATAGTTCTCATAGAGTTCTTTCATTTTTAAACACTCTTCTTCCTTCTAGTTTCTGTCTTCGTGTTTGCTAATTCTCTCTTAAGCAATTAAGTTCTTCATCTCCAGATTTTCTGTTTGGTTCTTTTTGATAGTTTTAATCTTTTTGGTAAAGTACTCCTGATGTTCATTAATTTTATTTTTGAGGTCATTGAACTGCCTTTCTGAGTTCTCTTATAACTCACTGAGCTTCTTCACAACTGCAGTCTTAAATTCTCTATCATTTAAGTGACAGTCTTCCATGGCTTCTGGAGGCTTTTCATTGTCTTTAAGTGCTCCCATGTTACCTTAGTTGTTCATGGTATTTGATGGATTGTTTCTCGGACACAAATTTGAGCTATTCAGCTATTTTCTTGTTTAGATACTGTTTTGATCTCAATAATTCAGCAGGTT